AAACCCCCAAAAAGTGACCCGTCCGGAGCCGTACCGTGCCGTACCATGCAGTGGAAAAGCGCCATTAGATGAGCCAGCTGAAGGAGCTCACTGGTGTGGTCCTCAAGGGATCGATCCCCAAGTAAGGAGAAGGCGTCTAACTGCTGATAAATCTATTATTTCAGGTCAGTTCTTCTGTAAGGCGTGGTTCAAGCAACACGAAAGAGTCAAAGGACAGGATAATTTCCAGCAGTCAAAACTTTAATTATCAAAACAAAAGCACTCTGAAGCATGAAGTCCATGATATAAGAACAGAAAACACAAATCAACTTACAAGTCCTCAAAATATAAACAGACAGTGACACACACATACAAACAACCACTTGCTAACACAGAAATGATTACACACATGCTGACACATTCCTCTTTCGACTGCTTCCTTGTTGGTGCATTGCTTGTGTTTGTAGCCTGCTGATCACTCTCCATTTCTCTACCAATACACTAAGTTTTTATTTACTTTCTAGTACAATTTTACTGCATGCATTAACTTTCTACATTTTTTTTCTCCTCTGAAAATTTCATATCACGATTACAGTGACTGTTAAATTGTGTTGGAAATATTCAAAAAGTGCTGATTGTCATGTGTAATACTGAGGAGCAAAATGCAGAGTTAGATCAACACATACTTCATTAATATAACGGGGTGAACACCAATCCACAGGACACAGACAATAAAATAGGAGCTGGGTGAGAACAGTGCAGATGGCAGATAGTCTGAGAAAAAAACCAGGGGATTGGAGACAGACAGTATTCATTATGTATGGTACTAGGACCAGGGTGGAGCAGTACTATCTCTGCCTGCCTTTCAGACATCTCGGCTTTGAAGAAGGAGCCTCATCTCCAACTCAAACTTGCGAAGATAAAGCTCCTTGTAATCCCTGCAAACCTGCCAGTTGAGCTGACAACATCACTGTTCAATATTCATTAGTGGGGTAAACAACACTAATGCCAAACATCACTAAACCTCTCCACAACATTAAACCAAGTCACTTACTTACACACACACACACACATCACACACTGGTTTCCATGTTTTATGGGGACATTCCATAGATGTAATCCCTTTACCCCAAACCTACCCCTCACACAAAACTTTCTGCTATTTCAAAAAATTCTGTATGATTTATACGCTTGCGTCCTCATGGGGACCAAAAAATGTCCACCCAAGATAAAAATTTACTGGTTTTACTATCCTTGTGGGGACATTTGGTCCTCATAATCTAGAGAATACCAGGTACTGCTATTCAACACTAAAGGACAGTTACAAACCCCTCCCCCGACCAGCATTTGGCAAAGGTGACCACATTAGCATACTGCTGTTACCAGCCTACAGACAATGCCTCAAACAGGAAAAACCAGTTTCTAAAACAGTCACAAATGGAGTGAAGATGCCATCGCCACACTGCAGGACTGCTTTGAATCCACAGACTGGCAGATGTTTCAAGATGCAGCTGGAGACAACATACATGAATACACAGATTCTGTGATATGCTACATCAATAAATGCACAGAGGATGTTGTCCCATCCATTAATGTTAAATCATTTCCAAACCAGAAACCATGGGTCAACGATGAGGTGCGTGCCAGGTTAAGAGCACAAACTGCTGCCTTCAACTCTGGGGGTCTAACTGCTTACAAGAAGTCCAGGTATGACCTTCAAAAAACTATCAAATCAGCCAAAAGAGACTTTAGGGACAGAGTGGAGTCAGAATATCACGGCTCTGACCCCCAACGCATGTGGAGCAGTTTGCGCTATATCACTGACTACAAAGGAAGGAAAAGCAGTGTTGTGTCTTTGTCTGCCTCCTTACCGGAAAAAATCCTCAGAGATGTGAATGCCAAGGAACTTGTAGCTCTTAACTGTCTCTACTTTCTCTCCATTGATGTGAATGGGAACGTGACCCTCTCTCTGTGACTTCCTGTAGTCCACGATCATCTCCTTGGTCTTGCTCTCTAAACGTCAGCAAGACCAAGGAGATGATCGTGGACTACAGGAAGTCACAGAGAGAGGGTCACGTTCCCATTCACATCAATGGAGAGAAAGTAGAGACAGTTAAGAGCTACAAGTTCCTTGGCATTCACATCTCTGAGGATTTTTCCTGGAGCCTACACTCAGAGACCATAGTGAGAACAGCCCGTCAGCGTCTCTACTTCCTGCGGAGGCTGAAGAGGTTTGGCATCTCCTCTAACATCATGTCAAATTTCTACCGTTGCACTATAGAGAGCATTCTGACCGGCTGCATCACCGTATGGTACGGCAACTGCTCTTCTTTCGACCGCAAAGCTCTTCAGAGAGTGGTGAGAACAGCAGAGCTCATCATTGGACATAAACTCCCAGCACTACAGGACATCTATCAAACTCGCTGCTTGAGAAAGGCCCGCAGCATCATCAAGGACCGCACTCACCCTGCTCATCACCTGTTTGCCACACTGCCATCTGGCAGATGCTTACGATCCATCCGATCACGGACAACCAGGCTGAAGAACAGCTTCTATCTTCAAGCCATCAGACTGCTTGACAGCCAGCTATCCTTCATCTAAAACCGGAATACATGCTGCTCTTAAGTTTATTATTTATTGTACTTGAACTGCCACTTTAATTTTCTTTCGTGTAGCTCTGCGACACTCTACACTGTAAAAAATGTCCGTAGTTTTAACGGTGAAAAACTGTAAAGTAGCAACGGTAAAAAACTGTACAGTGTTAACTATGCCAATGATAAATAAATGCCTCTCGACTCTTGACTACACACACACACACACACACACACACAAAATTGTCCTTCTCTCCACATATTACCTCTGCTCTAGCTTGTTTCCTAGTCTAGCTTTGTAATAAACCTGACATTATACAATATGAATATGGTTGGCTCTGTGATGAACTGCTTATGTTCCTT